GCTCCACACTCCTTGAGAATATCATCCACAATGCTTAGCTTTTTTTAACTCCATTTACAGAGACGTCAGATTCCCAGCTCTTCAGGGGCTTAAACAATGTTGTTTAGTTTTTTTTTCTTTTAAGGGCAAAAGCAGATTTCAAGTGGTTTCAACCTGAGGAGACCTCTGTCCATAACAGACAATCCCATTCTCTAAACTTCTTCCGACAATGAAAGGGCTCTAGACAGACACGTTTCAAGAGGTAAGCCTGGGGAGTAGTATCATACTTGGAATAACATGCTTTTAAGAAGTAACTAGTGCCCTGTCATTGTGAGAAGCCAACCCGCATTCAGCTTCCCTCTGGAGTAGTGGTCCTGTCCACAGAGATATTCATGGTCCCTCTAAAACATTCACACACACTTTACTTCTTGTTTTGTCTAGAACTTCCATTCAAAACACTGCCTTTATGGTTCACATGCTACGATTCGCAGCCCTGACATCAGAGTTGATAGAAAATAAACTGCAGAATCATGTATCATATCTGGAACAGGGAAAGAAGGCGTCAAAGGAAAAACAGATCTATTTCTGTAACTAGGTCCACAGATGCTGAGAACACACAAGAACATTGCAGAGATTTGCCGGCAGAGAAATGTCAAAAGGAAGCAAGAGCACCTAGCAGACATAAAAACATCCCAGTTTCCTGGACAAAGCAAGCCAAAGAGGAGCAAACCTGCCTGGACATCTGTGCTGCAACAGCAGGAGTCAGTGGCATAAGCTAAGTTATTCAAAATGGAATATTTCTGACAGGGAGCAAAGAGCCAAAGAAAAGACGCTTACAAAACCAGTCCCAGTAGTTCCCTGGGACAGATGGAAGTCACACAGTCAACCAGACTGACTAGGTTACCTATGACATCAGACTCAGTCCACTTGCCTCCGTGGATTTGTTTCAGAAGAGTGTAGAGCAACCTCCAGAAATCCAGGCTCTGCAAAAGAAAGAGAGGTAGAGGAAGCTCAGCAGGCAAAAGATCCACCATATATTTAGCCCTCGTTAGGCAATCAAACCCATATCTGAGCATCAGCTGTTGCATGGAAGAGCACACCTGCACCCTGCCAACACTGCTGAATCAGGCAGGTTCATGTATTAGCTGTCTTATGAACGCTACCTGCAGTGAAGTTCACTCAGAAAGATGAGGGCTACTAATGCTAGCTGTACAGCAAGACCCAGGACTTCTCCCTGCAGTCCAAGGCACATGCACACAAGAGCATGGCTTCCAAAATATCCGCTCTGATATAGCCACATATGGCACAACTCATCTATGGTCTAACCAGCACTTAAAGACACTGAAGAGATCTGACTACAACGATAGCAAAAACTCACAAACAAAAGGCAGCACAGAGTTGGGACTGGAAATCATTTCTTGGCCACCCTAGGACAGCACACTGACAAACTGAAACAGTGACTCCTACAGTAGAAATTTCAGTCAATACTCATAAAATGCTTAAAATAGCCAACTGAGCAAGTGGAGACCCTGTGTGTGAGCTGGAGACCTCACAAGCATCACCCTGTAAAGCCCAGAAGCGGAAAGACCCATCAGTGTACAATAAAGGGAAGCAAACCTCAGCAAACACTAGAAAGAGTGCTGCAAACCACGGTGAAATACCAAGCTTTAAGTTAAAGCCACCAGAAGACAAAGCCCTTTCACGAGCAGCGAGTTTGCAGTCACGCAACACAGAAACCTCCCCATCCGGGCCTCGGCCTCGCGCAGGCGTCCAGACCCGCTGGGGTGTTCTCGTCCATCCCCACCCGGCACC